CCCATAGTTACCTCCTCCCAGTGTCCATCCCTTCATACTCTTCTGCACCCTGAGCTATCTCCCTGTGCATAAGCAGCCCTTCCTTCTCCCATGATTGTTGAGAGAGCACTTTTTATACCCTCAGTGTGTAGTTCTGAGTACAGCATGCAGTGTGTTCTCAATAAATATTTATTCAATGAGTGAGTGAATGAATGAGGAGCCTAAGGGTAGTGGAAGATTTGGGTTAAATGTCAAACAAAAACTTAAAGGCATTAGAATACACATGTATAATAAATGACGAAAAATTTAGTCATCATAATTCTTTTTATGAAGGTTCTGTGTGTGCCATAATAACTATAATTGACTGCTGATATGCCTTTGAAGAAGTGAGGACCTCAGTATGGCTTTGCTGAATGCCTAGAGGCATCTTGGTACACAGTTTGCAGATAGGATTTGGGGTGGGCTGAAATGCTCAGCAATGGAGAGGAGGGAAGGAGCCCTAGCAGCACAAAGATTAAGTGCTAGGCTGTTAACTGAAAGGTTGGCAGCTTGAACTCACCAGCTCTGCAGGAGAAAAGACCTGACAATCTTCTCCCATAAGGATTTCAGCCTAAGAAACACTAAGGGGAAGTTCTACTCTGTTCCATAGGGTTGCTATGTGTCAGAATCAACTCGATAGCACACAAGAACAACATAGAGAAGGAAGGAGTAAATGAGAATAAGGTCTGAGTGTCATTGGAAAAAAAGTATTTGAATTATGGGTTTGGTGGGTAAGGTTGTGTGTCAACTTGGCTGGGCCATGGTTGTGAGTGGTCTGGCCACTGGATGTACTTATTCCCCATGATAAGACTGTAATCATCTCTATGGTGAAATCTGCTGTGAGTAACTAAGTAGTTTACTTCAGGGTGTGGCCTGCTTCCAGTATATATGGAGAAGCTTTGAGGAAGGTCTCTATCTTTTGTTATATTTGGATCCTGCTTTTGGCTGAGGCTTCATCTCCAGTTCCTGGACTTGAACAAGTGAGCTACCGTGTTTCCTGCTGATTTTGGAATTGTGCCATTTTTCCTGTTAATCTTGGGTTCATTGGCCTCGGTAGCAAGCAGATGCATGAGTCAGAGGCAACTTTTAGCTTGCTCTAGTGGGCCTGGAACAAGAGGCAGTATTGAAGCTCCCCAAAGCCTAAATCATGTCTGCTTTTCTTCACCTTTGTATCCCCAGTCTTCAGCCCATGGCTCTAGGAGGCCATGTGTTACAACATTATCATTTAAGAGAGAAAGAAACTGAGACTTGGTAAATATTATTATGTACACAATGCTGCATTATCAGTAATAACAAACACTAGTCTACGAGTGGATATATAGGTAGACAGGAAAGAAGATCAGGTATGGGTAGGCAAAAGGGAATATACCCCTGACCATACACAGGTTTGGCAAATGATATTCCTACATGGATATTTGTATGGGCTATAAAAGTGTCCATATACATTATAGAGCTAAGAGGGGATAAAGTTAGGATAATTTATTAGCCACAACCAAACACCTTCAGGGAGTGAGACACTGGGCCTCTGAGCTCAGTACTATTGTTGTGGGGGACATCTAGCTCAGCTGCACAACATAGTACATAAAAACATTGTTCTGCAACCTACTTAGGAGCTCTGGTGGTGTAGTACCTAAGGCACTTGACTGCTAACCAGAAGGCTGACGGTTCAAACCCACCAGCCACTCCTTGGAAGGAAGACTAGGCAATCTACTTCTGTAGCAATGTTGTTGTTATTGTTATTATGTCCCGTTGAGTCAGATCTGACTCATAGAGACCCCTCCTTAGGTTTCCGAGGCAGTATCACTACGGAAGTAGATTGCCTAACCTTCCTTCTGAGGGGTGGCTGGTGGCTTTGAACCACCAGTCTTCTGGTTAGCAGTCAAGTGCCTTAGGCCTTGGAAACCCAAGGAGGTGTCGCTATGAGTCGGATCCAACTTGATGGCAGTGAGTTTTTTTCTTGACATCCTACTTTGGTAAGTAGTGACTGGGGTCTTAAAAGGTTGTGAGCAGCCATTGAAGATTCAAGTATTGGTCTCTCCTTGTTTGGAGCAAAGAAGAGTGAAGATATCAAAGACATATGGAAACAATTAGTCCAAGGGACAAATGGACAATGGGAATCTCAGCCTATATGACCCTGAGACCAGAAGAACTAGGTGGTGCCCAGCTACCAATGCCAACCACTCAGAAAGTGATCAAAATCAGAGATCCTGGATAAAGTGTGTAGGAGAAAAAAATGTGGAACAAAATTCTAAAACATAAACAAGACCAGAATTACTGGTTGGATAGAGACTAGTGAAAACCCTGAGACTATGGTCCTATGTTGTTACTCTTAGAGCCTGGAATTGGACTCATTCCTGTGGGTTAACTCTCAGCCAAACAAAAAACAGGCTGATGAGCTGAACAACTACACAAGAGAGATGCACTCCTTAGAACAGTCAACCATGAGAGATTGGAAGGACAGCATTTGTATAGCAGGAAAGTCAGACAGACAGGAATGCCTAGGTAAGAACTGCAGAGGGAAGGGGCAACCACAGGGAGGAAGTGGAGGAGACCTGCTCCATTGTGGAGATTGTAAACCAAATGTGTATGAATTGTTCCGTGTAAAACGAATCTGCTTTGTAAAATTGCACCCAAATTACAATAAAACATTAAAAAAAGAAACTAAGGCTTAAAGAGTCAAAGGGATTTTCTTGAGATCCCACAGCAAAGTTTTGCCACTGCTTTGTACTGCATCATTTATTATGTG